ACATGGGGTGATTCTCCATGGTATCTCTTTTCATGCCTGCCATTCTCCTTGTCATTGGTGGGTTTTTTGCTGGCTTAAAAAATAATTGGTAGATATATCACTACAGTGATAGACTATAGTGATGATTCTACTACATGTGTTAAGTGCCATCAAGTTGCAGCCAACTCATGGAGCCCCGAGCAAGGGGCTTTCAAGGCAAGTGAGAAGCAGAGGCAATTTGCCATTGCCTTCCCCAGCAGAGCTGTCCTTGGTGGTCTCCCATCCAAGAACAGACCCAGCTTAGCTTCCAAGATCTTGCGAGATCAGGCTATACCAGACCACCTTCCCCCTGATGTTTCTACTACCGATTTTTTAAAAGGCTACTTAAAACCTGACAATGGGAAAGGAAGACTGGCATGAGGGGATGGAGGGGAATGGTACTAGAATAGTACAAGTCACAAGTTCTCTCGAAGCTGTTCTCTCAAGGACAGTTCTGGAAAGAACTCTCTCAGCCCCACCTACCTCACAGGGTGTCTGTTGTGGGGAGGGGAAGGGAAAGGAGATTGTAAGCCGCTCTGACTGAAGGGCGGGGTATAAATCCAGTTTCTCTCTTCTTCTTCTTCGTCTATATGTGGTCATGGAAGCGGAACTCCAAAAATCTGCCTTTTCCTTTCCACACTGTCACCAAACCCACCTTGAATATGGTTTTTCAGGAAAGTACAAACGGATTGTGCTCCACATCCTTTCCCCAGAGTGTCTGCAGACATGCATGAAAGGGCACTGCACGTAGTAGGGAGCCATGGCAGGCTCAAGACCCTCCATGCCCTCTTCTCTTAAGTAAAATTCAAGGAACTGCCTCTTCAAAATGACAGAAGTTAAGTGCAGTTATGGACAGATTAATATAATATATTCTGAAGGTGTTTTTGGGTCAAGAGGCAGGACTCACTCTCAAATAATTGATATATGGGTGAAAGTTGATTGAATAAATGATCACAGTTATGGGTTTAAAAAGGAGGCACTAAACTGCGAGGTAGCAGGTTCGCTCCAGTGATGAAGTGTCTGAGCTCCAATGACAAAGAGTCTGGAATAAGGGAATAAACAGGCGAGCTCAGCAGCAGTGTGAGGAAGCTAATCTCTCCACATCCCTAATAGGGTAAGCAGACTTTCTACCAACAAACCCACACAAATAGGAAATTTATAAAAAGGGGGATTAAAAACAAAAAAAACAACAACAATTAAAAAGGTAGAATGTCAGCAAGGAATCGGGGAGTTGCACTGAGTGCAACATGGTATGACTATCTGCCAGCTGGACAGAAGTCATGGGTGTGTGCTCGGTGCAAGGAGCTCCTGGTTCTCAGGGAATGAATTAGCACCCTCGAGGCCAAGGTGGCTGACTTGGAGAAGCAGAGACAGTCATTTAGGCATGTGGATAAGACTCTCAGGGACTTGTTAGATGTGTCCAAGAATGGCAGCCCCACTGCTGTGAGGGAGCATGAGGGTCAAGGGGAAACAGGGCACCGTGCTGATGAAAGAGGGAATGTTCCCTCAGAAGGGGCCCCTTCTACAGTTGGTGAACAGGTATTCTTTCGCACCAAGGAACCATCCCTGGGCAGGGGGAGGGGGGCTCTTGGTAGGTGGTGATTCAATCCTTTGGCATGTAGATAGATGGGTGACAAACCTGCGTACTGACCGCATGGAGACTTGCCTGCCTGGTGCGAAGGTAGAGGACAATATGCAATATAGATATGCGTGGTCTTGGCTGGTAGACAGTGCTGGGGAGGAGCCAGTGGTTGTAGTGCATGTTGGAACCAACTATGTGGGGAAATGTAGCTGTGTGGACCTGGAGGAAAAATTCAGGCTGCTAGGCAGGAGACTCATGGCCGGGACCTCCATGGTAGCCTTCTCAGAAGTGCTGCCTGCTCCACATGCAGGGCCAGCTAGACAGGCACAAATTAGGAGTCTTTGTTAGGCACTGGGATGCTTTTTTGTGGTAGATAACTCACTGAAAATGTTGCCTCAGTGTGCAACTGCAATAAAAAGGCAAATGCTATGCTGGGGATTATTAGGAAGGGAACTGAAAACAATTCAGCCAGTAAAATAATTCCCCTGTATAAATTTACGTGCGGCCTCGTTTGGTATACTACGTACAATTCTGATCACTGGACCTCTAAAAAGATATTATAGCATTAGAAAAAGTGCAGAAAAGGGCAACTCGAATGATAAAAGGGTTGGAACACTTTCCCTATGAGGAAAGGTTAAAGCGCTTAGGGCTCTTTAGCTTGGAGAAAAGACGACTGAGGGGTGACATGATAGAGTTTTACAAAATTATGCATGGGATAGAGAAGGTAGAGAAAGAAGTCCTTTTCTCCCTTTCTCACAATATAAGTACTCATGGGCACTCAATGAAATTAATTAGCAGCAGGTTTAGAACAGATAAAATCAGTACTTCTTCACCCAAAGAGTATTTACACGTGGCGCTCACTGCCACAGGATGTGGTGGTGGCTATAAGCATAGACAGCTTCTAGAGAGGATTAGATAAACTTATTAGCTATTAGCCACAAGGTATGGATGGAATGCTATGTCTGGGGCAGTGATACTCTGTCTTCTTGGTGCTTGGGGGGCCATAGTGGGAGGGCTTTTGGAGTTCTAGCCCAGCTGGTGGACCTCCTGATGGCACCTGGGTTTTGGCCACTGTGTTGTGACAGAGTGTTGGACTGGATGGACCATTAGCCTGATCCAGCATGGCTTCTCTCATGTTCTTATGTTGTTACAAAAAAGTGGCATCAGAACCAACAGTTATGGAATTAGTCTGGGATGTGGCTGGAACAGGTAACAAGGAGGGGTTGTGGCTCAGTGGATGAGCCTCTGCTTTGTATGTGGAAGGGCTCAGGTTCAATCCCCTGCATCTCCAGCTAAAAGGACCAGATAGGTGATGGGAAAGACCTCTGCCTGAGACGCTGGAAAGCTGGTGCCCAATACTGAATTTGATGGATCAAGGGTCTGATTCAGTATAAGGCAACTTTATATGTATGATATTTGGATGGGAGACCACCAAGGAAGTCCAGGGTTGCTACACAGAGACAGGCAATGGCAAACCACCTCTGAATGTGTCTTGCCTTGAAAACCCCATGAGGACTTGCCATGTCAGCTGCGACTTGACAGCACATCATCCAAAATCATCCACAGAGGCCAAATCTTCTTGGTCTCTAAAGTGCTCCTGGACTCGAATCTAGCTGCCCTACTGCAGACTGACACAACTACCCTGTGAAACCTCCATCCACCATGTAGAGGTGACACTGAAATACTATCAAATCCACCATGATGGATCAAGCAGTAGAAAAGAGCAAGAGTAACACCTTGGTGCCTTAACTGTTTTGATCCTGTGGTATTTCATTGCACAGTTGTGCCTAAGTCAGCCGCCCTGAGCCCGCTTGCGGGGAGGGCGGGGTATAAGTGAAATAAAATTTAAAAATAAAAATAAATAAATTAAAGACTTAAAATTTGTGGCAGGGTATGAGCTTTCGTAAGCCACTACCAGGGCCAGTCCCAGCTTATTTTGCACCCTAGGCGAGTATCCCTTCTA